GGGCTGTGGGCCGGATGGAGGCCTCGGGGGCCCCAGCGCCGCTTGGGGGCAGGTTTCCGGCACCAGCTGGGGCCGATGCAGAGCTCGGGCCATGCAGGGGGCACATGAGGGTCCCAGGCTCTGGAACCAGCCCTGCCCCTGCAGTGTCCGCTCTCAGAGGCCCTGGCACGTGAGGGGACGCCGAGGATCCCCAGCGAGTGCGTCCCGCAGGCTGCACCCTCCTGAGCCATCAGTTCCACTCGCTCGCCAGCTGTTTCCGGCACCAGCTGGGGCCGATGCAGAGCTCGGGCCATGCAGGGGGCACATGAGGGTCCCAGGCTCTGGAACCAGCCCTGCCCCTGCAGTGTCCGCTCTCAGAGGCCCTGGCACGTGAGGGGACGCCGAGGATCCCCAGCGAGTGCGTCCCGCAGGCTGCACCCTCCTGAGCCATCAGTTCCACTCGCTCGCCAGCTGCCTGAGTTCAGGGGTCCCGGATCCAGCCCTGGATGGCAAAACCGCCAAGCAACACGGCCAGCGGGGCTTGTGCTGGGAACGGCAGGAACAGGTGGCTGGGACAGAGGGGCATTGGTGCATCTGTCAGCAGCACAGGAAAGGGGTCGGTGGCAGGGCCGTGGGTCCGTAGTGAGGGGCATCGGCAGAGCTGGGTGGGGAAGCCCAGCGTGGGAATGGCAGGGCTGTGGGTCCGTAGTGAGGGGCATCGGCAGAGCTGGGTGGGGAAGCCCAGCGTGGGAATGGCAGGGCTGTGGGTCCGTAGTGAGGGGCATCGGCAGAGCTGGGTGGGGAAGCCCAGCGTGGGAATGGCAGGGCTGTGGGTCCGTAGTGAGGGGCATCGGCAGAGCTGGGTGGGGAAGCCCAGCGTGGGAATGGCAGGGCTGTGGGTCCGTAGTGAGGGGCATCGGCAGAGCTGGGTGGGGAAGCCCAGCGTGGGAATGGCAGGGCTGTGGGTCCGTAGTGAGGGGCATCGGCAGAGCTGGGTGGGGAAGCCCAGCGTGGGAATGGCAGGGCTGTGGGTCCGTAGTGAGGGGCATCGGCAGAGCTGGGTGGGGAAGCCCAGCGTGGGAATGGCAGGGCTGTGGGTCCGTAGTGAGGGGCATCGGCAGAGCTGGGTGGGGAAGCCCAGCGTGGGAATGGCAGGGCTGTGGGTCCGTAGTGAGGGGCATCGGCAGAGCTGGGTGGGGAAGCCCAGCGTGGGAATGGCAGGGCTGTGGGTCCGTAGTGAGGGGCATCGGCAGAGCTGGGTGGGGAAGCCCAGCGTGGGAATGGCAGGGCTGTGGGTCCGTAGTGAGGGGCATCGGCAGAGCTGGGTGGGGAAGCCCAGCGTGGGAATGGCAGGGCTGTGGGTCCGTAGTGAGGGGCATCGGCAGAGCTGGGTGGGGAAGCCCAGCGTGGGAATGGCAGGGCTGTGGGTCCGTAGTGAGGGGCATCGGCAGAGCTGGGTGGGGAAGCCCAGCGTGGGAATGGCAGGGCTGTGGGTCCGTAGTGAGGGGCATCGGCAGAGCTGGGTGGGGAAGCCCAGCGTGGGAATGGCAGGGCTGTGGGTCCGTAGTGAGGGGCATCGGCAGAGCTGGGTGGGGAAGCCCAGCGTGGGAATGGCAGGGCTGTGG